CGGACGCTGCCTTTAATATGTTTTAACGTCGGTATACAAATACAAAATAAAAGCGAAATACAGTGCTACCTAAGCTTGCAAGAATAGTTATTCTGTAGGTAAGATCTATGAAAATCAGAACAAAATTTCTGTCATCTTACTACTTGAAGACAATGATTAACGCGTTCTGCTCTTCCAATTTACCCTCATTCTTTTTCGTTACATTCAAGATTTGATAAAGAACATTTCTCGTTTACAGCAGTTAATTTTTTGTTGGTTAGTACGTACGGATACGCATAGGCACCTTATTTCTTGTCACTTAAATTAGTTTTACACTCTGCGTTCCTAGTGACACCTTTTTCCAACAGATTTGTTGAGAAAAACTACTTACTTGGCTCAACCATGTATATAATCAAAATGAGACAGTGACGAATCGCTAGCTGCAAAGAAAGATGTTGAAAACTGATCTCATTATAATGGCTCCCATTTTCTGCTTAGAATTGTCTTTCTTTATCAGGGATGGTAGCGAGGAACCACCTGAACCAATAAAGGCTTGGAGATGATCGCATCCTGCAGATATTACTGGGAAATTGCGATTCACTAAAAAAAGAAATTCTTATTTTCATGTTCATGGACTTGTTAAACACAAAGCTTTGTTAATGACGGTGTCAGCACTGCATCATCGGTGATCTACGGCGCTTGAAAAGAAGTTTCACAGCCTTCCACGTTTTCTTGAAACTTGAGAAAGAGGTTCGTTCAACTTTACAAATTAACTCTCAAGCTGGCATTAGTAGCAGTAGTAAAAGCAGCAGTTTTGTGTATAGAGCTCGTGTGTGTATGTGTGGATGTGTGTGTGTCTATGTGTGTATGTGTGTGTATGTGTGTGTGTATGTGTGGATGTGTGTGTTGTGTGTTGTGTGTCATGAAATTCAGGGAGCGTGTTGTATGCAAGGTCTTGAGCTGAAATTTTGTTCATAGCACCCTATTCAGCAGTAAGCGATGCAAACGATAGGCTGGTCCCATAATTGGAACTTTCAAAAACTGCGCGTCAAATGGGTCCACGCAGCTTTTGGCCGACCAATGTGGGTCGGGGAGATACTTTTGCGAAGTTGTGGATTTGGTTAACAAGTATATGCGCAGACCCATAAACTTAAGTCCAAAAAGTGAGCAAGATATCTGTTACGGAAAGCCTGCGCCAAAAAAGGGATATTTGGGTAGATTATCACTTTGTCAAGGTTTCATCTATTAATTATTTGCAAAGATTTCTGCTCAAAATTAGGTGACGGAAGTAACTGTCCTTTGTGGAAATTACCCCTACCATAATGGTTTCGGTCCCTTCCTAAATTTCCAACATTCTACTCTTCTTCACCCTTCAGCAAGTTCTTCCTTTCTTTTTTCATGCATCCGCTACAAAACCGCGCTTCCCGTTCCTCTGGCTCCTGCGTTAACTTGTCCTTCATACTGGCTGCATCGCTTTGCAACACCGCACCCCGGTCACCGCGAAAATGAGCTTCTCCACCCGTGTTTACACGAATATCTGAGATTGCCTGGTCAAAATGATGAGCTTCCATTTCCATAGATTTGAGTAAACAGATCAAGAAACCGATAAAGGGGTCGAAAAGATGTGTGTGCAAAATTTCAGTCTAACCGTTTGAGCGACGCGCGTTTCTATAATGCACATACCCTCCAAAAGACAATTTTTGAGTTTTATATTAAGAGATGTACAGTCATTTTCAATACGTATTGGTCTTTTCTACCGTATGCCTTTCAGCCTCAACATGACTTGGATTAATGAGGCGCCCCATCGTTTCGGGCTTACGGCACGTTGCTTTCTCGCCACGCCACGCCAAACGAGCGTCATCTACGTGGCGCAGGCCCGAAGCGATGCGGAGCCGCACCAATCTACAATTGATTCAACTGGCTGAGCTTCGGCAAAGGCGAGGCTTCGTGATCTAATTAAGGCTAGGTAATGATCAGAGAACACTTGCGCGCGAGAGACGCAGGTGCGTCGCGGGCTCGAGCGACCTGCCCTGACGGAGCTAAACTAGTCGAATCAAAGATACGTCATGTTGAGGCTGGAGGCGTACGGTAAAAAGACCAATACGTGTTGAAATCCACTATATATTTATTAGGCTGCTGCATAAGTTCTGCTCGATTTGAATTTTTTGAGTTCAAAATGTCATAACTTCTTTCAAAATCAACTTTTTTCCAAGGTCTTAGTTTTACGTGTGTTGAGCAATTCCTTGGCTATCAGATACATGATAACATCCGCGAAAATTCTTGTTGAGGAAGAAGCAGGAACTCAAAAACTTCACAGCGTTTTTCTTCAAACCTATCTTTTGACATAGCAATGCTCCCTTATGAGAATTGATAGGCAGCTTTTCTAACGATGGATAGATAGAGAAGTTTCGTAAATTATTTTGCATTATAAAAAAAAGCCCTTAGGGTCTGCGTTGCCAAAAGGTTTTTTGACCGAACAAAAAAGAAGCCACTTTTTGACCTCGCTTTAGCGCATGTGTGCATGTCTACTTACGAATTGTGAAATTTTACAATTGAAGTGAGCGCCGAAAAAAATTGGTGGATGGTCTCTGCTAGCCCTTGCTTTACCCTAGCACCTCCAACTTTGAATTCGTCGATTACTTCTATTCGGAGAAAGTTATTTCTTGTAAAACATCTACACAGGAGATTAATGTTTGACAATAAATTTCACTAACAAAACGTTTCCTTCATAAAACTGAACTTATGCGTAATGCTAGCCTGCTACACCCTTATTCCGCAACCAATCGAAAAACTTAACCTGAAGGCGCATTGTGGAGATTTCCTCGCAAGAACATATTTTTGGGGTGAGAACATACCTCGGCCACTTGGAGATTTTAGGCCTGAAACTCCCTTACGCTAAGAAATTTATTGAAATTTGATAGGCATCAGAAAGCGCAAGAAAAGCGCTTTTTAACGATACTAACAGCACCGCATTAGAGATGAAATTCCGTTAGAACAGCTGCTTCAAACAAAGACAAAAAAATTCGGACAGAACTTATGCAGCAACCTAATATGTATAAAGTGCGATTCATAATTATACGAATACCCTAACATTTAGAGGTTTCTGGATTTTTTGCAGGAAACTCAAAAAAAACTTTGGTACCACGCGAAAGATAGCCGAAAACGGTATACGATTTAGAAGAATGGAATTCGATGGCAATCTTAGCAGTGTTTTTGCGACTAATGCGAATTTTTGGCGGTTCATAATTATACAAACACTCAAACAAAGGCCCATCTTTCATTCAAGATTGCAATCATTTGAGTCCAGATTTTTTGTAGAGTTACAGTAACAAAGTCTGACATATCTGCTGCACACTGAATCCAGTTCAAAAAGAGGACCGTTATTTTTTCAGAAGGCTCTCAATGCTTTTGGAGTGATTGCGCTCCAAAAACATGCGTTCTTTTGTGGTTTACGCGCTCTAAATAGCTTCTACTAAGGCTATGAGATTATAAGCTATTTCGATAAATATCTTGTTTGACGCTTGGAAAGTTTTTTGGTTTTCGTGGCGTTTTTCAACCAAGTTCTAACCCTACCCAGAGTTACCACTATTTCAAGCCTCAAAACTCAGCTTCTGTCTCGCGCAACATTTGATATGAAGCAGCTACATTGTTTGCATGATGATGTGACCGTGCCAAAGTTTTTGGGTTTTTTGCAGAGCTAGTCTTGAGGCTGTGGAGCTAAAAACCAAACAAAGGTGATTGCAATAGTAAAAACAGTGGTTTCGGTGAAATGAGCCTGCGTGGTTAAAACAAATGCTCAACTTTGCTGTTTTTTTCTAACCAAATACGTGGTCTTGCGAACTTCTACATACTATGTGCTTACTTCAATGTAGGCCTTCAGAAGCTGAGTTTTGAGACTCGAAATAGTGCTAACTCTGCGTAGGGTTGGCTTGGTCGAAAAACGGCACGGAAACGCAAAGATTTTCCAAGCGTCAAACAAAATATTTATCGAAATAGCTTATTTTATCCATAGCCTTAGTAGAAGGTATTTAGAATGCGTAAACCACAGAAAAACAGACGTTTTTGGAGCTTAATGACTTTAAAATCATTTACACCATACGGAAACAGTAAAGCTTCCCTTTTTGAGCTGCAGTGCGTTTAGGTGTGCCAGATATCGCAGACTTGCTACTGTATCTCTACAAAAAATTTGGACTCGAAAGATTGCAGTCCTGAATGGAAAATGGGCCTTTGTCTGAGGTGTTCGTATAATTATGAACCGCACTTTATATATCATACGTAAATGATTGATGTTCAACGCCGATGCAGTGTTTCGACCGGCTAGTGGCACATTCTTGCGGCATCTTCAGGCAATCCTTGATAGCGGCCACTATCAAAAAATTGATGATGAACGTTATCAGAGATCTCTCCTAGCAATTATGAAAAAAAGCACTATCTGCTAGAAAGATATAAAAGTATATTTTCCTATGCCCTTGAAGCGTTCAAGTTATTCATTGATCTCTCTCATTAGGCTCCCCCCAATGTGTGCACTTTTGTGAGTTTTGCACCGCAGCAGTAGTCAACTGAAATGTTCCGTAAATTACTCAGGAGCAACTTACGCGGAGTTTGTCTGATTCTCCTCTTTTGCACACTATCTCCCTCCGTTCACACCAGGATCCGCCCTCGCTGAAGTAGCATTCTGTTAAACTGACCGTGACACTTGACCGCACGGGTCTTTTGACTGTTCAGCTGGCTATCTTAAAGCACGGGAAGATGACGGTTCAACTTAGGAAGTTCTTCTCAGTGCGCCATCTCAGAAACTGAGATGAATGGAGGTTTACTACGGATCTTTGTATGAAAAAATATGATCAAATGACGCTGACATTCCGAGAGTTCAGACGTCAGCTGTACAAACAGGGAAAGAATGTAGCAGAGAAATTTTATTCTGATTATCTTGTACATAGTCAAAATTCTTTATCTTTGCAAACAAATCAACTAAAATTTGCACTCCAGCACTTGTGGATTCTTCATCAATAAAACTATGTAGCCTATTCCTGCTCATACTCTTACGGCTTCTTCTTGTTCAAAGACCGCTGGATCCACAGCATGTCGGTGACGACCGAGGCCAATCATCCTATCCGTTGCAAATCTCTTGAAACTGAAATGAGAGCTTTTTGGCACTTCTGCGCCACTACAATGCTACCGTAACTTTGCTCTTTATTCACTTTTTTGGCGCGGTTAAAGATTATTTGAAAGGTGTTACCAGGGCCCGGCGGGGGTGGCGCTTTCACAAGCTGGATATCGTTTTTGGCCCGAAAAAGCAAAGGGGAAGTCGTATTTTGGGGTCCGGGGCGGAGCCCCGGACCCCAAAATACGACTTCCCCTTTGTTTACCGATAAACAATGCACATATCATTCTTTATTCATCATTCCTCGTTGATGCTACTGTCCTATAAACTTAGATTCCAGCAATTAGATTCTGTGCTCCGATCGCTAGCCTGCCCGCAGGCGGGAATTCAAATCGCAATTCTTGTAAGAGGGAAATAACAAAATAGGCTCGTTTTCAATGCACAAGTAACGATATGGCACCAAATTTGCTGTATAGTTGGAGGACCATAAGCACAAAAAAAGTATGAAGAATTATGAGAAACTTATGTGAATTTAAAAAATGGTAAGTGTTTTTCGAAATTAGGTGGCTCCCGCGCCACCTGGGAGCCACCTGGGGTGGTTCCCTGCTTCCCTTCACATAATTTCCCAGATTTCTTTACATAAGTGTGGACTAGGTCGAGAGTATAACTATATGTTCAAATCCGCTTCCAAAACCACCAAGGCACCGCTTCGATACAGCCCCAAATAGGGTTCACAGCGTTATGATCGGCCTCGGAAAGCGCGCTCCAATTGCAAGCGGTGCACCTTGCACGGACGACGCGGAAACTTCGAGGATTTGACTTTTTGCTTGATAAGTGATCGCTGATTGAAGCAATCTTCACAATTTTTAAATAGATTGCTTCTTCGACAAGCCCTACAAGGGCTCAGAAGGGCCAGAGATCATATTTGGTCGTGATTTTCTATGTTAAAAGTTGTTTTTGTGATTGTGTTTCTTCATTTTTCGCAATATGGTCGATTTCTCCGTACTTTCGCTCTTTTGGGTCGTTTTTCGTCGTTCTCCTTTATTCTGGTTGTTGCAGGCATGCTGTCATCAAAAGTCGAGGAAATGCTTTGACAAGATCGAGTCGAGTAAAGTCGATGGACCTTCAACCCACGTAAACGTGGCTATTGGCAGCTCTTTACAGTGGAAGCGTTCAGATATATTTATCAGAGTCAGCTGCTTCTGAAATCTTTCAGAGTAGGTTAATTTTTTTTTTGAATTTTCATGTATTTTTGTATGTTAGGCCCCGGCCAGACTTCGCTCAAGATAGCTCATCCAAGAATGAGTTCCTATCCCGCAAATAGTTAAGCGTTGCCAGGTGTTCTTGTACATATGCGCCGTGAAAAGGGGCCTTTGGTGATTTTGAGCGGTTCTGGGCTGTTCAGTTGAAGTCTGGTTGGGGCCTTATGTTGCTTACTATGTTTCAATCCAGTATCTTGCGCATTCTTCAGATATGTGATTTGCCAGTGCGCGCTGCCAAGTTTATTTCACGCAGAAATTGGATTGTTACCGGCTCAGATGACATGCATGTCAGAACTTTCGACATCAGCACGTCGCACTTAGTTCACCAATTTGCGGCTCATTCGGACTATCTCAGGTAGGTGGAATGGTGCAATTATGCAAATATGTTACATGACATCGAATTTTTGCATTCGTTTTTGTACATTTGTAATTTTTTGCTTTTTCTTTGTGTGTTTTCCTTCATTGCCTCCAATATTTTTGTGGATCAGCGAGACCCATATTTACAATGTGTTTGGTCTGGACGATCCCTTACTCGACAGAGTTTACGCGATTTGATCGTCGCGATTGAATCGCGACAAGACAACTGTTACGAGTTCATTGCATGCCTACCAGCTTGCACTTCGGGACTGTCAGGGACTTACGGGGGTCAAAAATAGGGTCAAAAGGGAAGTCGTAAGAAATTTTGGCTTCAAAGGGGTTATCGTTTTCAAAATCCTGAAATGCCACCTCCTGCCGGGCCCTGGGTGTTACTGTATGGAAAGGTATGGATGACGAAGTAATACATGTTCTGAAAATTGACAGAACAGGGATGACGGCGTAATACGGTAAGCTGCGCAGAAGATCCCGAGATAGGGGACTATATGTCGCCGATAGGCTCCATTCCGCGCAGGCACCTGGTACAAATCTGCATACCTATAAGTATGGAGCTGCGCGCTTTGTCGCAGATGTCCACATGGGACAACGTACAACCGTTTCTCGGCTACATATAGTCCTCTACTCAAGATGCCATTTTTACGAAGGTACATAGTGATTATTATGTTCAAGAATTTGGGTTTGACTCAGGGTCTGGCACCAGCTGGCACAGGGCAAGCTGGATATCGTTTTTGGGACAAAAAGCAAAGGGGATATCGTTTTTGTCAACAAATTGCGACGCTTTTTTTAATTTTTCGTTTTTTGGAGGATTTTCAGGGATTTTGGTCTGGGGTCAAAGGGGACTTCTGAGAATTAGCAAAATTTAAGGGGGACTTGGTTTTGAAAATTTCCTGGTGCCAGCTCGTGCCGAGCCCTGGTTTGACTGTACACTTTCAGCCACTGTTATCTTTTGGCTGACTGTGCTTGAAAACTCACTTGCTTCTTCTAGCATTATAAGTCTCTAGTTCATATCTCCTCCTCAGCTTATTAGCGTGTCTTTCCATCTCTGCTAACAACCTCTTTCTATTTGGATCTAGAAGCGCCACAGAAAATGAGCCAAAAATCCAAGGAGAGGAGCGGGTTCATAAGCTTACCAGATAAGCCTTCATTTTGCGCTAATTCAACAGGCCTTTCTGGCAATTTTCCAGCTGCTTTTTTCTAGAAATCAACTTTATTTGGTATAAAGCGCTTATGCAGCATACAATCTCCTCTTCCTTATAGAAAGCGTCTGCGATGTGATAAAGTATAGACGGGCTTTGTGTGAGTTGTCCATAGTCATCAATTCTCAACCCATGCATACTCGCGAAGTTTAAAGGCGGAATGGAGCGTTTTTTCATAATTTCGCGAGGTGTTTCACTGACAATTTCCCATGGTTTCTGAAATTGCGGACATATATTAGAGAATTATGAAAGACGCTTTAAATTATAAGGACCAAGAATTTGTGTCTGCGTCGCCATCGCCATCGTATCATTGCTGCTTCCAACCTCCCATAGTATATTATAGCAATTAAAGCCTTTAAATATTTCTATCAAACTCCCTCAAAAGTTTAATTAAAGATGTGATGACCTCCAAAATAAGCAGAATGACTGCAATAGCCATATATGAATCTAGAACAACCATGCCGTGCGAAAGAATTAGAAAAGTGAACTCAGACATTATTCATCTAATCATAGAGGTAATAATTTTGTTCACTTTTTTGGAAGGAGATGGAGGGGGGGGGAGGGCAGTGGGGTTTCCACGTTCACACTTTTTCCAAGCCTTCCCTTAGAAACAAAAAACTCGATGTATCAGTTAGAGCAATCAGTCATTTAGAATTGCTGATTATGCATGAGACTCGTCCATCAACTCATTTTCCTAGCTCATAGTTATGTTTCAACCACAGTTGTAATTTAGAAAGCTTTTTTGCATATGGGATAACATTTTGGTCATTGAAATTAACATATACGAAAATCTCTTCAAACAAACCATTACTCACCATTCGCTCAATGACACCAAGCTCTTACTGTAGAACAGTAATTTATTTCCTGTTGTAAGTCAGTGAATTTCATCTTTTTGGAAAAACTTGTGAAAATAAACTTTGAGATGTGTACCATCGAATCAAAAAATTTATTAACGATCAAACAGTGTGTAGGGGAAAGCAGAAAAAATGAAAAAGAGCAAATTCAAAACTCTGTTTACTTGCAAACCCAAGCCAAGAAATAGGGTTTTCAAAGCATTATTATACATATCAGTGGCGGTCAGATCGCTCAGAGGCGGGAAGGGGAGGTCAAAGGGGGGGGGGGGAGGACAGTTTTTATTCGAATGAAAAGTTTAAGAAAAGTGTATTCGAAATGCGTTTGAAATTTTCATTTGAAAATTTAACCTTGAAATTATTAGAGAAGAGGCATGTGGTTCAAAAGACAGGCATACATCACGTGATTTCATCGCCTCGCGATCCACCCGACAGGACAACTGTTACGAGTCCACTGCATGCAGATCATCTTGCATTTCGGTTGTGATAGTTTGCCGCAATTAGTCGAATCGGAAAACTATCACAATCGAAACGCAAAATGATCGGCACGCAATGAACTCGTAACTTATCGTTTTCGGAGAACCGCGAGGCGATGAAATCACGTGATGTATACCCGGCCTCCTTATTCTAGGTTCTTTATAAAAATTTCTCAATTATCGGCAAGCAGAAACAACTCATACGATTTTATAGCATGTACGTTAGTTTAAAAAAATTCGTTACCCCTTTCCCCCGGTCCGCCACTGAGAACTAGTCACATAGGGAATTGCGCGAAGATTATTGAATTACGTCAGTTTATGAGCCAGTCTGCTGTGCAACACAAGACTTTTGCAGTTTTTATGATTTCGTATATATACTGCACTATTCAGCCAACTGTTCCCGTACTCACATAAAAAAAGATAAATCGAAAATCAAGGAAACTGGCTATATCGGCGCACTTGTCAGTACAAACTTCATAATTCTGCTGCAACAGCAAGATGAGCACGATTTTGAATCAGTAAATAATTACACATTTTGAGTAATTTGATAGGACTCAATTTGGATCTCGTTAGTGCATTTTCAGGCTGTAAAGTCTCACTTCAAACTGCATTGGTAATCCTGTTCATAAATATGATACTATCTACTAGATTGGCTAAAAAGTAAATTTGGTCGTTTTTAGCGGTTTGTAGAATTGTCGCAGATCAGGTTTTGTTATATATACTTTATACCATTGGAAAGAGCAAACCAAGGAGAATTGGACAATTCTGACTGACAGAATGACTCTGTTTTGTCAGAAATAAATTTTTCTGATAACGATATGGTGCAAAGGAGAATGATCAGATTCCCCTAAATTTTCGAAAAGTCAAGGTCCTATAAATGAACTGAAGTCAGGTGTAAAATGTAGATTCGGTATTCATACGAAAACTCCAACCATTTGCATGGCCACAGATGGTCAAATTCGAGCGATTTGGAATGCCCAAAATTTGAGTTCCACGCGCTAGTGCCTGGAAATTTCCACATTTTGGCTGCCGAAAATCATCAATTTCGTCATTTCATCAATTCGTTTAAAGTGAATGACTGCGAAAGTGGTCTTCAAGGTATATAGAAACGTAGAAAATCTGTTAATCATGATGAAGTGATGATTTATGACAGATTTAGATATATTGAAGGCAGTGGCTCGGTCTTCGAGTGGAAATTTTTTGGCTTAACTCGGGTAACCCGACGCGCTATTTCGAAGACTCCCTTTAGAGAGCGCAAAAATGGCAAAAAACCAGCTTTTCTCAAAACTCCTCAATTGAATTTGGACGGTTAGAACGGTCGCCATGGCTAGATAGGCAGAGTCGTCGAACCCACATATCACAACATTGCGCATAACGCCTCCAACTGTGGACAGGAAATTAAGGGCAGTTTTCTTGAGCAGCATGCCGTGCGCTCGAAACATGTTCTGTTTCCACTTGGTGTGAGCAACGTACCTTATCATAAATCCGTGAGGATAGGGGAACGAACTCTGCCAGTTTGAACCGCCTCCGCGGACTACTGGTCCTGCACCAATCCGTGATGTTCAGTTTTGCCGACTGCCTTCAACCGCAATTTTGGAGTTGTTAACTCAAGACCAATCTCGTTGAAGGAGGAAATTCCTGGGTCGCTTGTGCCTTCTAGGGCAATTTTCTATGTAGCTTCATAGGGGCCTGCTATAATACAGCATAAATTACCATTCTCAATATGGGTGGGCGATGCCTTTCGTCCAGGAGATTGGAGGAGGGAGCGCAGAATTTCCAAATGAAGGAGCTTGGCGTCATCCACGCTCTTCGAAAAAAATTTTTGGAGTTCCTAATCTAAAGTGGATCTGTAACACCGAAATCTCCAAGCAAGAGGTCGTTGCAACAGCTACAAAGCTAGGAAATTTCAAAAATCTCTGGAACTTTCGACAGATTTTTTAAACCATGAAGTTTTTGACTAATTTTGAAATTTATGGTAATCCTGCGCTGCAATGATATGATTTTGGTAATTGATGTTGTTGAATGTCATAACCTCAGTATTTCTTAAGCTGCGACACTCTGCTTTCACATTATATGGGAAAAATTCAGTGCAATCCACACCATTTATGTTTTTGGGATGGTGAATCACAGAGAAAAAAATCTTTGAACGAATCGTAGAAGTGAAAAAAATTATTAACGAGTGATAGTGACATGTAGTTGTTGCTTTAGAATTTTCTGAAAATTATGAGATTTACCCTAGTTTTGATTTTATACTCTGTAATATTAACATACCCTTGCTCAGCATATTAGATCGCGAATTTTTAAAAAGTTGAGCATTGTGAACTTCGAAAATCTATACAAGCTACTGTGGCTCCGTCTTTTGAATTTGAAGGTTTATACTCAAAAATTATGCCACCCTTTAGTTGACGAATGGACCTCATGCATCAAATCAATTCAACTACATAATTCGCCATTACAAATGTGTACTAAAAACATTCGTTTTTGAAATATCGATGAGACGTCAACAATCTTAATGTGCACTATTTTTATCTTAAGTACAAAATTTGAACAATAAGAAGGGTCTCTCTTGTTAAATCGTCATTGCTTCATATGAATACAACAGAGATAACATTTTCAGTGAAATCCCTGAATTTTGGTGAGATAAAAATTCTATTCACACATTTGATTATGGCAAGCTGTGGTGGAAAGAGAAATCTAAAGCACAGAAAACGTCCCTTTAGCTCCTATGAGCTTGTTCTTGTTCTTCGAATTGTTTTCGAAATTTCGCTCGCACCATCTCGCGGAACATGTCGGCGCATTGGCCCTGGAAAGCGTCGTTCTTTGATCACTTCTTTCTACTTAGCCTTACTTTATGATGTTAGCTCACCTTGAACCCCTTCACTCGCCCTCGAAAATCACCTGATATACACATTTGGTTGAACACCTGAAAAGAGAAAAGATCGGAGAAGTTCTATTTAGCAAAGGCATTGTTGTAAAACTGCTAGTCGTGATTGATTGTCTGAGAAATCCCTTATAGGGAGAACGGGAAGGACAAGACAGCAATATACTAAACTAATAAAAACTGGTAGAAGTGAAAAATTGATTGAGAAAGGATGAAAAATAATAATCCTCTTTTTACAGTTTCTATAGTCAAGTAGGCGACTGACAATATAATGATTAGAAGAGTCATAAGTGGCCTTTCATTATTTATGCAAGATCTCCTAAATAGGAAAAGTTGCAGCTAATGCTAAAATCTTTGCAATTATATGTCGATAAAGGTGTGAAGAGGTCCTGAAGAAACTAGAATTTCTGAAGCTTTGTCGGTCAGAATGATTTTTTCAGTTTTTCTCCTCTAATAAAAAATTTCAGGCACAAAAAATTGTTAAGATTCCCAGTGAAGCATGAATCACAAAATATTAATTATCTATAGCACGGGTATTGACTTACATCCTATGCATAGACATTTATGTACTAACTTTGATTGCACATAATACACGCATTAACGTACAATCCTGTTTCAAATAACCGTGAAAATGCATTTTTCTAAACGCTTATTCAGTAAATTCTCGTTTTTTGTTCCTGCGAATCGACACAGAGTAATCTAAACAGGTTTTCTTATAACAGCCAAAACTGTTGTACAGTCAAGTGGATTTTGGGCTTAATATGGTGTTCTTGCGGTGCCGAGAAAATGCGGAATGATTTGCGCGTGAACAAATAGCAATGTCGTAATGCCGGCACTCCGCGCGCGCAAGTGGCCGGCATTGCAGGCGTAGCTTGTTCACGCGCAGATTCTACCGTGATTTCTGGCACCGCAAGCACACTACATCAGCGCAAAATCTACTTGATTGTACTGAAGACCACATAGACCACGTTGTATGTATTGTATTAAGTGTTGTATTTCATAAGTTTAAACTGTTTTTGCTTTATTATTGAAACCAAAATTTCTCTGCTTACCTTCACTATAAAAGCATTACATTTTGGACAAGATCCGTTGAAACACTGATAGGCACATGAATGGCGAAGACATCTGTTGATAGCTGAGATATTTGTAGGAGCATCTGATACACATTCTGACGCACATTTTATCAAATCACTGCATTGTTCTGCAAATAAATCAGAGCAGAGTGAAAATGGTGTAATTACATATTTTACATCAAATCCCTCACCTCCATCCTTTTTTGATCCGGTCAGCACCTCGACTAATTGTAGTTTAGAAGAATGACAGAGAGAGCAAGCTGTACATTCTCGAGCACAACCAGTTGAGAAAATACACAAGTAATCAATTGCCTACAAAAAAAATTACCTTTTAGACAGTTCAAGGGGGTTTTTGCAGGAAAAGCAAGATTTGCAGCGATCCTACAAATTCCCATCACAGAAGTACAAGCGCCGAAAATGAGAAATTTCGTATGGATTTGACGCCAGACTGTTTGCAGACGGGAACTTCCGCAGCATTTTTCACAAGCGTTTGCGGAAGATCCATTCTCTAAACGCCTAGCGGAAGTTCCGGTTTAAATGTCTTGGTTGGAGTGGTATAGGGGTAAGGAAAAAGTATCAAGGGGCTTGAAAAGCTGAGTTTTAGAAAGAATATAAACTACATTAGGAACCGGTGTTGAACACGCCCAAAAAAATTTTTTTCTTCAAAGCAAAATTCTAGGCTCTTTCCAGCAAATTGCTAGAACCCTTCATGCTGATTTAACTACACTTACTCTCACAGAATGTGCAAAATTTCTGTGAATGTCGCGGTTTCGGGAGTCCCGCGGAAGCCCGCTACACCCCCGGAAATTTTGCACATTCTGTGAGCGGTATTGTATGTAAACAATGTTTTGTACACTTGATACGTGACAGACTGCTCAAAGGAGAAAAACAAAGTGGAGACCATCCATCATAGAACAATAAGTTTTACAATTTTTAGGTGTTAATCACTTGAAGAAAAAAAACTGTGCATGGATTCTTATTTATAGTTGCGAATGCACTGGTTGCAAGACCTGTTTCGATGCAAATTTTAAACTACTGGAAATGATTGACGCTATTACTGCTTGCTGAATATAGGGAAGTTCTAGCCAATAAAATATTGACGACTATGAGAGAGGAAAATTAGTCATTTTGTAACCGAAAAGACAATAAGTTCAACAGAAGATGCATTGTAGCAATTTTTTCAAAAAAGGCATGGATTCATAGTGGAGACATCGTTTTGTGCTCGTAAAATTCTCAAAAATTCAATATTTTTTGAATTTACACCCATCACCCCCTTCTTTTTATATCCATGCATTCTCTAATGTGATTACCTAATCGAAGTGTGATTGAATGTAGATCAAAAAGTGAAGCTTTTTGTGCTTTGGAGTTGGGACTTTCTTCTTATTTTTACTTGCTACAAGCGGGGAAGTGTAATTAGAGCGTAATATCTTCACTAAGGAACTAGAAAGATATCAAACGGTCAAAAGCAAGACAAGAGAGGCACAGGCTGTCAAAGTTGAAAACTCTTTGGGAGAAGATCTATGCTGAAGAAAGAAATGGCTGCAATTGAATGATTCAGATCTGAGATGCTTTCTAACATTTTGAAGGTGCTGATTTCCAGAATAATACAGCATCCTAAAAACATAAATCACAGGGGAGTAAGGGAACAAAGGTCAAGCGACGATTTTAGATGTTAAAGGCTGTAAATCGTACGCTAGAAATATTACTTACACAATGAATCCATATAAAAAGTACCTTTCAATTTTTTCGTCAAAGACTTACCTTGTCAACATTGTTGTACATTTCTTCGGAAATCTCGGCATCTTGCATTTTCTCTACTAACCAAGGAAGCTAAAATATGACATATAAATTTAATCCAGGAAATGCTTCAAAAACTCACATTCACGCATCCTTTTTTGATCGAGCAAGAGAGGAGTTCGCGACATTGTTTGCTAAGTGCTGTCAATTCTACAAATTGAAGAAACAGAACGAGCCAAGGTAGATGACCAAGCATCTGGAACGAATTGCTGTTAAGAGATGTAGAACATACGTGCGGACGCGCAAAGCTGAATGAAGGATGTTTGAAGAAAAGAGGTGAGACGAGACGTAAAACCAGTACTGCATTAAGTACAGAGACTGAGAAGTACTGATGTGCTTTGTCATCGGAACAACGCAGCGATTGACAACGTGTTCGAATTGTTTAGTATTATGTGACCTTGAAAGTCACAGAGCAGACTGCCATAAATTTATAAAGATAGGAAAATGCCCGATGACTTACGCTTGTGTAAAGAGTGATAATCGGTAGTTGTACAAGATTGAGCGTTTCAACAATAATAAGAGATGATGAAAGTTCTTTGTTCGTAAATAATTACAAAACTCCATTTCGTTTCTGCCTTGATAAGAGTAAAAAAAAATTACAGACCTTCCCCGGAACTCCTCAGTAAACAAGGAAGGCTTAAAACTTTTGAGTTCAAAAAATCGCAAATGACTTCCGACAAAAACTGAACTTCTAAAACTTCCGCGACGGACGCTCTTAGTATAAAACAATAACGCTAACATAAAGAGATGGTAGAACTCGGTATAGAACAGCTATTCTAACTTTCGGTCTCTTGAAGAAAAAGATCAAAGGAAGAGAACTTAGAAAACGCTGATTTCTTTTACAACCTAAAAATTCAGAGACGTACATATCCATCCCTCCAGGTTACACCCTTCAATAATTCATACAAAAATTAAAATATGGACTTTCCATTAGAACTCAAAGGGAATTGGACACTTCTTTCAAGTTTCTCAAAGGCAGCGTCCCACCAGATTAGGGGGTACCTGGCTCTGGTATTAACGTAATAATAGACCCCTAACTAAGCGACGACGAAGTTGCAGCGCGAGAGGGGGTCTACGAAGTCTACAAATCCCCCCCCCCCCCCCCCAAATGGCCCGAATCTTACGGTAGGCTCGGGCAAGTACGAGATGCGTGCAAGGTAGAGACGCATCCTTATGCCGTACGATTCTCTCAAGCAATCTACAGCAAGGCATAGGGTCCTTTGGTTGCGAAGTTCTTTGGCGTATTTGGGCTGGTCGATTTTGGAAAAAAAATCCCCGCCTGGTACGCGTGAAATTAGGGTAAGTTTACTAGAGAAAAGCTCAAAGATAGATGGCTCCCATTTCTCAATGTGCTTGTGTATTTATCGGAAGGAGAATGGAGAACCAAATGCTATCGTAAATCTAGTAATAAGAACATTCTGGTTCATTGTCGTTCAGCGCATCCGAGATCAATCAAAAGTCATCAGTCATCTTCAACATGTTCAGAATGGCAAGTAAGATCGCATCCAGCATGGCATCAATAAAATAGGCGTACGAAGTAGCAGAAAGCAATGGATATTCCATGAGAGAATGCGGCCAATCTCCAGCCCGCGTGGTTCGGAGAGCGGCAAATTCGTCGGATAATATGGTCCCTTATTGTCTGCCGTATGTATCGGAAGAGTTAAGTAAAGCGGTAGGAACATGTCTACGTCAGGCTGGTTTGCAGGACTCCGTAAGAGTCGTGGATATTCCACCCTCTAACCTAAAGCGGCGGCTAATACGAAACCGAGCATATGATCGCCTTTGTCTAGACCCAAACTGCGCAATATGCTCCTATGATGAGTATGGCGACTGCACCGCAACCTAGTTTACCTGGTTACATGTCTCTCGTGTAATGAGATGTATTTTGGGAAAACACAGCGAGCCCTTTCGTTTGGATCAAAGAACATCTGGATGGCCTCAGGAAGTCAAAATCCACAACGCCTTTGGGAGCTCACCGCCAAAGAAGCCACGGCGATGCTATGTTTGATATTAGGCCTAAGGCATACCTCACGCGATTCGACCGAATCGCCACTTTCACGCGACTTGGCGATTTGCCAGATTTCTATAAATTTATTATGCGCACCTCTCGGATGCATATTTGGGTAGCTTGTGTAAGTTGTTGCAAACGGAGCAAGTTCTGACCAAAGGCAGCGCATTAACGACGAGTCACGAAGAGTCGCTGTTATGCCAAATCGCGCAGCGACCGGAATCGCGCGAGGTATGCCTTAGGCCCTAAGGTCACGATCTTGTCGCATGAACCGGAAACCGTAGCTCGCAAAACTCTCGAAGCGTTTTGGATAATTGCAAAAAGTCCAAAATTAAACAGAAAAGAAGAGTGCATAATTGTGACACAAGAGCTCGCGTCCTACCAGACCTTATGTGATTTTGATCTAACTCAGTAAGGTTGCGTTGGCAGGCCCTCGGGCCTTAACACATTCACGCCAATACGACCCGTCGGTGGGTTGGGTCGTACGTGTTCTGCCGTTTCGGACAATACGACTCACCGGTGGGTCGTAAGATACCCGAAGCTCTAGCTTTGCCAGTATACGATGAAATTCTATGGGGTTTTCTGGCACACAATTGGAGACACCCTGGCGAGGTTCCAGGCAGAGTGGTCCGGGTTCGGGATACTGTTAAGTAATGTTACAGTAGGTATACCGTAAATAGAGGTAAGGCACAGACTTTAGCTCAAATTTTTCGCAGAGTGGTGCTGTTCTTGGAAATTCAAATTTGCATGCACAAGAAATACAGGGAAGGCACGTGACTGATGTCAGCCCATTAAAAATTGTCGATTTTATTGATATTATCAAATATTCGCATTGTTCATCCCAGGAAGCTCAGACCTTACGTATATAGGTTTTTAGCATGCTTATTACGAAAATGATAGTCTGGGTTGAGCCAGACTTCGCGGAGAAGCGGCGTACGCGGCGTACGCAGCGTACGCTCGGTATATTTCATCATAGGAGCATACGCGGCGTACGCTGCGTACGTCGCGTACGCCGCGCAGTCTGGCCCAACCCTCTCAAGCTCTAATACCGCCTTCTTACATCAGGTTCTTGATTCTCAAGAAAATTCTACCGTACTGCTACCGTCCCACCGTGGCAAGGTAGTGCACAAAGTGGACACTATAATCGTGATTAGCAGGTGAAATAACCCCAAAACACAATTTTTCACAAAAATCATGATGCTGGGTTCGTACAGAATGACTACCGTAACCCTACCGTATACTGCCAAAAACTGAAATAAATCATATTTTGGTAACCAGCGCCTTCGATAACCCTTGTGGGGATATTCTCCAAGACATGTTTTAAATTTCTTCCAAAAAGACTACCATTTCGGACAATACGACCTGGTGGGTCGTAAGTTTGACAAAGCGAAAAAGGCTCTGGTCCGAAACGGCAGTAATCGAAAAAACGGCCTTGTTGTGAATGTGTTAAATATGCGCAGTATTCGCAGTGGCTAATCATTTCCTCTCATATGGTCTTGGCTCCAAAAACCGCTGTATTACGGTAAACGTTGCTTTGTCTTTCCTCTCATGCTGCTTTCGATCTCATTTGATCCCTTGAATTGATCGCTGTGGTCAGATGCGGCGTCTGAAGGATATGTCACCAAATGGTCTTTAGTTTCCAGGTTCCGACGAAGGCGAGGACGCGAAACATCAGCCATCAATAAAAAGATCATACCATGTTGGCTTAGCTACAGCAAAATTCAATATCGGACTTTCCATTGTTCTATTTTTTGACAAAGTTCTCTAAGTAACCGACGCGTAGCCCCAGAGACTTGAATCATTTATTGTTAGCCAAAACCAGTTAGCGGTGGTTCTTGCTCATCTGACAGCAAAGGTGAGCTAACAATTCTTAGCCTTAACGGGATTCTTCCCAAGAGGCTTTTCCTGCATGTAGCAAGATGTTTGAGAGGTTGATTCTCAATATTGCACACTTTACAGGCTCTGACGAGGCGGCCAAGCAGAAATGTCAGCAATACATGCTATAATAATCATGGTGTTGGCTAAATCGAAGCAATTTACTCGACAAGTTAAGATTCATGGAAAGTCGAACATGGAATATGATGAGCTTTTTCAGAGAATGATAATGTGAAGTGCAGAAAGCAACGTTACTAATTTTTCGTTCCTTGACAGAGAACAGAATTACTTGGAAAAAGATAATTGCTAGTGTGTCTAAATTTGGTGGAGATTGAGTAGAGGAATGGTTAACAGTCTTAAAGGTGAGGACATGTGATTGGTCTTACAAAGACCAAATACATACCAGGTGTACTGTCTTCACACTCGAGTGCGTACGTACAGAAGTGTGTAGTAATAACAGGTGGGTGTACGACAACTATTAATCACTTCTTTCGGAAGGAAATCTTGAAAAGTTCGAATCTAGGTTAGGTGGTCAATTATTAAGCCACAAAGAACAACGCACCCTGTGATTTTTCCAATGTGCAGAATTAGGATCGAAGGCTAGACAGACTGTCTCGCTTAATCAAAAATCATCATACAATTAGCCTTGCACCTCTAATTGAATTAATTCATGGTCACACCTAACTATTTCCTTACTTCCTTTTGAGGAAATCCTGCAATTTACTGCTATCTGCAAAGAGCTGAATGTTGCTCATATAATAACCATAAAAAGCTGAGCAGAGAAAACGTAAATTTCCAAAGAATTGCCTCTCAAACTGTCTCGCTTGAGCGAAAAAACGAAATGAGAAACCACCAGTTGTGTACCGATGGGCAGAGGAGGGGCGTTTGAAAGTTACTTACACGTTTATAAAAATGGTCAGAGGGGCTTGTTTTCAATTTTGCATAACTAAAATAGCATTGGAAATTTTTCAAACTTCGCAGTGACGGCAGCCACGCCTCGTTTTCGTAAAACCTTAAGGTTTGCCTGCAAAAATATTGGAAAGCATCCCAAAATAGTTTTCTTAGTGCGTAGCCAACGCCACGCACCTTTGCCCAAGAAAATTCTTTGCTTCCTCCCCCTCCCCCGGAAAATGCTGAGTACGCTAATACTAACAAATTGATTTGATCCTTTCCAGGCACGTGCCCCGTTGCGTTCATCCCTCGGAGAAGCGGGATTCAATAAAAGTTAGTCCTACGAATGATGTAGCAAAATAAAACAGTAACTTGTAAACGTTTTTGGCCGAATTGTTAGAACTCTTTATTAGTCAGGCATA